CTTTCTTTTGGAAATAGGTGTTTACCACAGCCATTTCCATTATCTTCGCATATCTACCACTACCTGTCCATCCAAGTTTCTATCCCTAACGCCAAAGCTGCCCATCACTTCCTCATCTCCTCTGTTCCCTTCCCCTACATGACCATTAAGGTCTGCTCCAATCACCACTCTCTCTCCCCTGGGGATACTCTCTATCATCCAATCCAGCTCCTTCCAGAACTTCTCCTTTTCTTCCAACTCACAGCCCACCTGTGGGGCATAACCACTAACAACATTTATCATCACTCCTTCTATTTCTACCTTCACACACATCAACCTGTCTGACTCTCGTTTCACCTCCACCACATTTCTTACATATTCTTCCTTTAGGATCACCCCTACTCCATTTCTCTTCCCATCCGAACCATGATAAAGCAGTTTGTAGCCTCATCCAATGTTTCTAGCCTTGCTGCCCTCCCACCTGGTCTCCTGCACACACAAAATATCTACTCTTCTTATCTCCATCACATCAGCTATTTCTCTACTTTTCCCTGTCATTGTACCTACATTCAAAGTTCTAAACTTCAGACTAACACTATTCTTCATCTTTTCTCTTTTTCTCCTAACCAAACGCCCTCCTCTTGTTCTCTGTCTCTGATAACGATTCAATTAAAAGTCCGTACTTAAAATGTGTATATCTGTGTTATGGCTTGGACTGTCTGCTGTGAGTATGAACTCATAAATGACATTTAACACTTGTGGAATCAACATGTCTGATCAAGAAGTGACATGAATAAAAGTTAAAAAAACAAAACAAGAAACATTGTAGTAAAAGTATTTCATTAACTTTGAAATGATAAGTGAATGATGCGTAATAATGGCATCATATGGAAACATCACGATACGACTGTGGCATCCCATAATGTCTCGCCAAATGTCTTGTCTTTATATAATCATCACTTTATTTTATTTTATTTTTTTGCTGAACATCAAATTTTTCCTATGTCTCCATGTTGTGGGCACAGAAAAGGGCAGGAAAGAGGGAAAACAATGAAGAAAAGTGATTTATAAATATTTGATGTTTTCTCTTCTTCAAATATTGTGGATGACGCAGACATTAGAGACCCCAAGGCAATAAACACTTCTAGGCTAATTGAAACAATGAGCTGAACTGGAGGACTGTTCACTACAGGTTCCAATAATCCTTCTCACTGTCTCACCTCATTAATCAGGATCCAGTGACAATCGAAAGCCACCAGGTTGGTTTCCACCACCTGTAACACACACAGGAGAGAGAGTAAGAATTGTAAATGAATATAAAGGCAATCCTGGCAACAACTTATTGGGCTGTATTTGTGTATTTTTCTGATAAAACGAAGGGAAATTATTCAATGCAACTGCGATAAAAAATAACTAGTGTTTGCAAAAGAAAGTCGTACAGATGTGAAAAAAAAGATGTTTTTATGATGTCTGGTATCAAATCAAACAAACAAAAGTTAGAAGTCAGCAGAGTTGTCTCATTAAAATGACTTGCAATTTAAGCTCCCTCTGCCTTTGAGCTTTATTTTAATGATGAGTGAACACACTGGTTTGGTGTCAGGGAGAGAAACTTGGAAGGACAGGCAGTGGTAGATTTCGCAAAGAGAATGAAAATGGCTGTGGTAAACACCTATTTCCAAAAGAAAGAGGAACACAGGGTGACTTAGAAGAGTGGAGACAGGTCCACACAGATTATATTCTATGTAGAAGAGGTAATCTGAGGGAGATTAGAGACTGTAAGGTGGTGGCAGGCGAGAGTGTAGCCAAACAACATCGGATGGTAGTGTGAAAAATGACGATGGAGGTGACAAAAAGGAAGAGAGTGAAGATAGAGCAGAAGATCAAGTGGTGGAAACTAAGGAAAGAGAAATGTTGTGAAGACTTCAGGAAGGAAGTAGGGGCAGTGCTGGGCCGTGTTGAGGAATTCCCAGATGATTGGGAGACTACAGCTGCAGTGATTAGGGAGACAGGTAGGAAGGTGCTAGGTATGTCCTCTGGGCAGAGAAAGGAGGACAAAGAGACCTGGTGGTGGAA